TCTGGGTCCAAAGCGGTCCCTCTTCCAGCGGCTTGGCTGCAAGCGGAGGAGGACGCAGCCGGAGGCGTTAGGAGGCCTCCTCTTCCTCGCAGTTCTCTGGTTCTGTGTCTGTGGGAGCGTCCCTCGCCACTTTTCACTAGTGCTGGACAGGACTCGACACACGAATCAAGAGGTTTCCCAGGAGTGGACTGGGGGCCAGTTCTGAGCGGATGATACATGAGAGGAGGGAGGGGGAGCCAGTAGGGAGGAGGAGGATGAAGAGGAGGACAGACAACATGAGTCCAAGAGCAGGAGGAAGAGGAGGAAGGGGGAGGACGGAGGAGAAATGTGAAAGGAGAGATGGAAGGAGGAGAACGGTTAATGATACATCGGTGCATGGGGGGCTTTGCAGAAAGAGAGAGAGAGAGAGAGACAGACAGGATGGGGATGGACATGATGATGATACATTCGGAACAGACCTAATTGGCTTCAAAAGAATGTTGCAAGGTCTGGCACAGTGCCTTCAGCATGTAGTTAGTGGAGTGAACCAAGGCTCCTGCAGATATCAATGTCAGGGACATGGCACACTTGCTAATGGCCCAAACCACACACTTGCCAGAATTCATGGGTGCTCACAGGCGTTTCTCGCGTGGGCCTCCGGGATGCCAAACCCAAACCGACTCCGACATCCCCCAAGAACCTTCCAAGAAACGTTCGAAGAAATGTAGGACCTCTCGGAGGCCCCAAGGAACCGTCCTGGGGCTTGCCTGGTGGCCTTTGGGGTCGTCTTGAAAGCCCCAGGAGGCAGCACAAGAGGCCGTATTGATTGACACACACACACATACAATATGAGTGTTGAGAGATGTTCGCGTACTGTGTGTTTCGATCTACGGAGCGTCAACGACGGCCAAAGATGCCCCAAGAGAGCCCCAAGACGGCCAATAGAGCCCGAAGATGGTTCCCGAGGGCCCCCCAAGGGGCCCGATATGCACCCAAGAGGGCCAAAAAGGGATCCAGGAGAGGCACGTTGAATGGGCCACTGAGATCCCACGATGGCTGCCAAGACCGCCTCCACGCTTTGAGGAGGCCCCCAGAAACCCCCAAGAGGCCCGCAAGAAGCCTCGAAGAGGCCCCAAACGGGTTTCCAAGGAGTCTTGCAAGAGACGCTAAAGCGGCCTCTATGAACCCTGTTGTCCACGACACAAATGTTTTCCCAAGATGCTCCCAGGGACCCCCCAGGACCTCAGCAGAACATAGATGTGTCGAAGATCTCTACCATTTCCTTGCCTTCTCGTGCCTGGGAGTCCGTCAAGGCCTCACCACGAGGATAATACTTGCCTCCTCGTAGCTCTGAATTTCCGAAAGGACGTTTGAGAGACCCGCGGAAGACGGTTGGCAAGAAGCCCTTGGAACTATGTATCGACTAGTTTGAAGGCGCCCAAGGACACACAAATAAATACACACAAATAAAAGGATCCCCCATGTTTTCCCATATTTTCAGGGCTTTTGTCTTCCCCCCCATTTCCCATATTTTCCCATATTTTCCTGGGAGTCGACGATTAATTGTGTCTGTGTGTTTTTCCCCCTCCTGATAGTTGATTCTAGGCAAGGGTCTCCACGACTGCCCAAGACATCCACACCGCAAATCGCTGCAAGAGGGGGCTCCGAGACCTTAAGAGCACGAGGGGCCAGTGCCTAGGAGGTTTTAGCAAACACTCTGATCCACGTTGACAAACCAGGCTCGATGGCGGAATGGGCCGCAGGCCACCAAACTTTCGGGGGGTGGGGTGAGAGAAGATTGAGAAAGCAATTACCCAGGAACGTACCCAAACCTTCCTGCAGACATGCTTGTCATGGGGAACCTTCTATGGTGACAAGAGAAGCGACGCAAATTGTATAGCGACGCGACCCTTGGTTCAACTAGTTCCCGATAGCTTCGAGTTCGATTGAAGTGTCGCACCGAGGTGGGAGCCTTGCCATGTACACTCCTCTTGCCCGAGGCAGTGCTGGTGGCCGCCGAGGAATGGGCTCCTCCTTGTATCCTAGACTCTCCCGGTGGTGGGAGGCTCTGCCGCCAGCGGCATTACTTCGCGGTCATCATGCAAGCGCCGTGCATTTACCCATGGGCTTGGACCTGTCAGATATGTACAACCATGGGAGAGGATGATTAAACATGGTTAAGCGTTGATGCTTCTAGAGACTCGCTGCGGCTCTTGCCGCCGTGTGTCGGGGCTTCTCGGGATCGGCGCCTTCAGTCGAGTTGGACAAGTTCCGTGGGCACTGCGGTCGGCAACGCGGCATCCACGGGGTCATCTCTGACCATCGGCACGGCCCTCTGCGGGGGAGGGCACGGCGTCGGGGCCTCCGGGCCTACACTCCGCAGTCGCTAACTACCTTGCGGCCGCCGTGTGCTTCGACCTCATCATGTACAGCGTTTTGTTTCTACTCTTCCTTGAAGCACGCTCTGTCTTCAACGTGGGGGTCCTCGTCATTCTGGCTGCGCTAGGCCGCAAGCCTGTCTACAAATAAAGCAACTACAATCAAGACCGCAAAAATCAGAAACAATGCATGGACGTATGCGGAGTCGAAGAATCTGCTGGGTTTGCATCCGCTGTGCCTCCCAAGAACCGACGAACTCGGCGACCTTTGAGCACTTCGCACCCCCCCAAGTAGCCGCGGGGTCTCGGCTGGGTCTGCGTACTCCTCCCCTCCGCCGTGCTTCCCAGGAGCCTACGAAAGTAGCACTTCGCACCCCCTCAAGAAACCGCGAGGTTTCGGCTGGGTCTGCGTACTCTCCCATTCCACCGTGCCTCCCAGGAGCCCACGAAACCGGCGACATCTGCGCACTTCGCAGCACCCCATGGGGCCGCGAGGTCTCGGCTGGGTCTGCGTACCCCACCACTCCACCGTGCCCCAAGGAACCCACGAAAGCGACGACACTTGCGAATTTCGCAGCCCCCAGAGAGCCGTGAGGTCTCGGCTGGGTCTGCATACTCCTCCGCTCTGCCGTGCCTCCCAAGAACCCACGAAAGTGGTTGCACTTGCGTACTTCGCAGCTCCCAAGGGAGCCGCGAAGTCGTGGTTGGGTCTGCGTAGTCCCCCACGCCGCCTCACATCCCACGAACTCAACAACTTTACGACTTTTACTGCTCTGGGGGGTGCGATCAGCGAGTCCTGTCATCAGCGAAGCTGTCGCCACTTTCGACGATTGCTGGGGAATTCAACGGCATGACGCCACACGTGGGTTTAAATCAAACGTCGCAATCCCTTGGGGGCTGCGGCCTGCGAAACTGTCACCACTTTCGAGAGTTGCTTGGGAACCCCGCGGAATGAGTTCATACACGAATCAATATTGAACCTCGTCATTCCTGGGGGGGGATGCGATCAGCGATATTGCCGCCAATTTTGAGCGCAGCTGGGGAGTCCAGCGGGCTGCGTAATACGCAAATCCAGGTTCGACCTCGCCATCGCGTGGGGGCTCCGATTTACGAAATTGTCGCCACGTTCGAGGTTTGCGGGGGGGTCCAGCGAAGTGACTTCATACGCCGACTTCAATTCAACCTCGCCGCCGTCCTCGGGGGGGGCTGCGATCTGCGAACCCGTCATCATTTCCGAAAGCTGCTGGGGGTCCAGCGGAGCGACGTCATGCGCGGACCTAATCCCTGGGGGGCTGCAATCTACGGAACGGTCGCCACCGTCGAAAGCTACTGGGGAGGGTCCAGCGGAATGACGCCATACGCAAACCGAGATCCGACCTCGCCATCCCTCTGGGGAGGATGCGATCTGCTAAACTGCCGCCACGTTCGAAGGTTGCTGGGGGTCCAGCGGGGTAACGTCACACGCAGACCTAAATTGGACCTCGCCCTACATGGGGGGCCGCGATCTGCGAAGCTCTCGCCACTTCCGAGGGCTGCCGTGGGTCCCGCGGAATGACGTCCACGGAGTGCCAGGGCAAGACCATGGAACGGCGGCGTTGCTGCCGACAGGGGGCGCAAGGACGCGGAGGACCTGGACGCCCTGTGGCTGCACCTCTTACGCGATGCTTTCCAAGGCGTCGACTGTGGACAACCTGCTGATGCTACGCCCTGCGAAATGCTTAAGAAATCGTGGATTCAGAAATTCAGAGTCTCAGAAACTGAATACAACCCAGAACTTCTATCAACATCTTGGGTTTGACATGGAAGAGTTAAGAATAATCGAGACTCTGGACGAAAACTTAGGTTTTCTTAAGCATCGCCGAGGGTGTACGAGACCCCAGCCCTGAGTTCCTCTCCGGAGGGCCGCCCGCGGACCCCGCGGCGTGCCCGCGGGCGTCCAGCTCTCCCGCGCTGCAGAGGAGGTGCCCGAGAAGCCGGCGGGCGAAGCGCCGCTTGTCCAGCAGGCCGCTGGGAGATAGAAAACGCCACCCTCCTTTCTCATCCCGCCTCTGCCGTCGTCGTCCTCTTCTCCCTTTCCACTGCCTGCCTGCTGCTGCCGCCCTAGCCTTGAGGCGCCCATTGCCGTCCTCCTCCTGCCCCTCGTTCCCGCCCCCTTCCTTCGTCAAACCTGGGGACAAACTCTTCGTTCTTCGATCGTTGTCCCGTGAGTCGTGCAACGCGCGCGTATATCCCTTTTCGCTATCGTAACTTCCTGCGGCGCCTGTGCTCTGGTTGTCCGTGCACATTTGGGCCAACGCCTCTTATCACCTGATGCAGGTGGGTAGGATAAGTCGGAGGGTGATGTTCAAAAACCCGTCGGCCTGTGTGTGGGGCCTTCCTGGAGACTTCTGGAAACAGCTTGGGGCGGCTGGGAGGGGATGCCGTAAAAGCGGGGACGGCGCAAGACGGCGGCGGCCGCCGCGCCCCAGCCCGACACGCGTTCACCCGGCGCGCGTAGAGCAGGCCACCGTCCTCGTGCTGTTTGATGTTCGGTGTCGGCCGCTGTGATTGGCGCTGTGTGCTGGTGCTTGGTGTCGTGGGTCTGGTGTTCGCCGCCTGGGCTTGAGGACTCCCCCCTACCTTCTGACACGCCCCCCTTTTCGCCAAGCACCGTCCTGGTGATCAGCCGAGACGAGACGAGCGCGGTCCACTACTCGCAAAAAGTACACAACTACTCGCAGATGGCCTGGATCCACCGCGGGGCATCTGCGATAAGTGGCATCAGAGCAGACGTGTGTTTTCGGGCGTTTGCAAGCAGGCACTTTGCGAGTAGTGACTGGTGGAACGCGCTCGGTGAACGACGAGAAAGAAGCCAGGATGAGAACGGCTCGGGATGCGCATCAGGACTCCCGCTGTCATGCAGCCCGTGTTCATCCTGGGACCCGTGCCTGCAGCCCGTGTTCATCCTGGGACATCTCGGGCAGCCCGGAAGCCTGGGGGCACCTTGCGGAAGGGGCCCTGGGACTCACACATCAATACATACACAAATAGCAGGATTCCCAATATTTTCCCATATATTATGTTTTTTTGTGTCCTCCCCCCCCCTTCCCATAGTTTCCCATATTTTCTGCGGAATCGACGATTCATTGTGTCTGTGTGTCTTTTGCCCCTCCGGAAACGCACCATCATCATGACCTCTTGCTCCTCGTGACCCGCAGGTCACCGCCCCCCGTGGCCACCGGGAGAATGGCGCACGCCGCGCCGAGCCGCCCCCCGGGACAGCTCAGCAGGGGCCCCCGTGCTCGAAGCCGCAGAAGGGGCCGTCGGAGGCAAAGGACCTGCGGGCTCTCTTGGCCATGTCTCGAGCAGGCGACCGGCTGCAGGGTTGGCTCACCCTCGAGTTTGTTGGCCCGTCGTATCCACGAAACTGCGCAGGACGGCCAGCCTCCCCGGGCAGCTCAGCAGGGGTCCCCGTGCTCGAAGCCGCAGAAGGGGCAGTCGGAGGGAAAGGCCCGGTTCACGCGCACGGCGGCGCCGCACCCGGGGCAGAGCGCCTCCCGGGTCTGGCACGGGGGCTCGGCGGGCAGCAGCTCGCCGCTGGGGCCCTTGACCACCCTGTCGAGCAGGCCGCCGTCGTCGGACTCGCTCGCGGAGCTGCCCGCGTCCAGGTGGGCCTGGCGCTGGGCCAGGGGGTCACTGGTCTCGCAGAGGCCCCTGCAGCAGCCTGGCTCACAGCAGCAGATGTTTGGCTTCGAGATGCGCCCTGCTGCCTCCAAGTCCTTGACGTGCACCACGCACACGTTCTCGATCCCCATCCAGGCGCAGCGGCAGTAAACGAAGCCCAATACAAGCGTGACGAGAGCGACGACAGGTCTGAGCTCTACGGGAAACCAAGAAGCGTCCTGCGGCAACATAATTACTACATTCCAAGAACCATGGATCAACACCGGCACGAAGATCGCTGATAGGAAACTGACGCAGGGGAGGGATCCCTCGTGGCAGACATACCCCCTGCCAAGGAACTTTCGGTAGCCCAGGTGTATGCCGATGATCAGGCCTGTGCAGCAATGGAGGGGTATTGACGTCACCATTCTCGCGAAACTTGTTCCCAGGCCTCCCGCAATGGCGTACTGCAGATTCTCTATCGTAGCGAAACCCGCCGCAGCAGCAAGACCATAGGTTAGCAACGCGCCAGAATCGGCCGTGCGGTCCTTGAACAGAATGCGCCGCACTGCCAAATCCGCAACCGTGCCGCAGGCACTGAGCAAAGCGTCCTCAGGTCCTCAACAGACTCTGCTCCTTGGTTCCTTTCGATCATCGACTCAGTTCTGAACGCTAAGACACCCTGGAACCGAATTAGCTGGGATTCCTGTGCGGTCCTGGGCGTTTCGTTTCGCCCCTCCCGAGGCCACCCGAGCTCTCTTCGACACGCGAGCATCCCGCACACACACACACACACACACACACACACACACTCACACACACACACACATACACACACACACCACGACTGTCCGTGGGCAGAGTCCGGGCATACGGGCCCTCGGGCCTGTATGGGAGATCCTTCGGGGGACAGCCAGAGAGCCCCAGGGCATGCAGAAGCATCGCGTAGGTGTGTTGTCGAGTTCCCAAACAACGGTTGCACTGCAGTGCCCATCGGTCGAAGAAGCAGGCAGAGGCATCCAGTAGGAAGGCATTGGAAGTAGATTGGGATTCCGCCCGCCCCCCTGGCGATGCGGGAAGGGGGAACCACGCGCGTTGCTTAAAGCAGGAGGGCGCCTAAAGTAAACTGGAGTCTGGGAATCGAACGGTCCCTACTTTTAAGTCGGGCATGCCCCCCTACAGGGGGATTGGGGGCGAAAAACAAAGGCTCAAGGTAAGCCCCACAATACTCAAAAAATAGTCCCCAGACTATTTTTTGTGACCATTTTTGGATGTCCCCCCTGTAGGGGGACAGGCCCGACTTAACCCTGCTTGCAACGACCGATGGGTACTCTTGCTGCGAAGAGGGAGCGCCGAGTAAGGAACGACAGGGCTTCTCTGGCCACGGCGAGCCACGGCCGCGAACGGCTTCCCCGACATGGATCAGGAACGGCCCTCCTCCTCCTCCTCCTCCTCCTCCTCCTCCTCCTCCTCCTCCTACTCGTCCTCCTCCTCCTCCTCCTCCTCCTCCTCCTCCTCCTCCTCCTCCTCCTCGTTCCCCGGCCTGGATCAGGAAGAACCCAAAGACCAGAGCCCCCCCGAGCCCCGAATGGCTCCTACTTCGGCATCCGTATGGTTTTTCCCCTTGTGCCGAGAGGAACTTACCACCAAACAGCGAAACCCGTCCCCAAATGTGCGCCCTGGTGCTCGCCGATGGCCGCCCTCCTCGTGGCCGCCTTGTGCACCGGTTGGCGGTTCGGGACTTGCGCGGGGTGCCTGCTCGAGGTCGCCTGGCGGGAGATTGTGAGCTGCCCCGCGCTTCCAGATGCACGGGCGGCTTGCCTCACACAAGCTACACCACAAGTCACAGACGTCACCACTATGTGTATGCCATCTACAAAGATATGAATCGAGAACAATGTACACATACACACATGCACACGCATATACATACGTGTACATGCATGTACATACTAACCTGCATACATACATGCATACATGCATACATCTATACATACAAACACAGTCATACATACACCGTCATACACACATGCACACATACACACAGACATACATACATACATGCATACATACATGCATACGTACGTGTGTCCATATATGCATACATACATACACACATGCATACATACAGTCTTACATGCATACATACAGTCATACAGTCATACATACATACATACATACAAGCATACATACATACATACATACATACATGCATGCGTACATACATACATACATACACACAGCTCTAGATACATGCACGCATATATACATGCATCAATACGTACATACATACACACATACATGCATACATATGCATACATACATGCATTCACGCACACACAGACATACGTACATGCATTAATACATGCATGCGCACGCACATCCATATATACATACATACGCGCACGCGCGCATGCATTCATATGTTCATGCATGTCTACATGCATGCATACCCACATACATACACACAAATTAATACATGTGTGCACGCACACATACACACATGCATACATGTATGCATACATGCATGCATACACAGAGCCATACATACAAACATACATACATGCATCCATACACATACGCATACATATTCCTACACATACAAACAATCAGACATGCGTACATACATACATGCACACATACATACATACACACAGCTCTACATACATGCACGCATCCACACACATCCATACACACCGACAGACAAACATACATGCATACATACACATGCATACGTACATGCATACACGCACACATACATACATAGGTACATGCATTAATACATACATACACACGCACATCCATACATACACAGATGCATACACGCACGCATGCATATGCATGCATGCATATAGTCATGCATGGATGCATACGTGCATACACTCAGACATGCACATACATACATACATGTATGCACGCATACATACACACATACATCCATGCCTATATATATATGCAACCATGCATATACATCAATATGCATACACTCATACGTTCATACACGCATACCTACACACATACACACATACGTACATATATATATGTGTATGCATGCATACACACATATACCTATGTGCTATGTGTATATTTATGCTTATGTGTGTATATTGAACTCGATCCGCCACCGTGCCCCTGGGCACGGTGTGGGCGTGTCCTCAGGTCCTTGACCTCATCCCCTAAGCCTCAGTCCGCAATCCTGATGGTTTCCTAGGGGCCCGCCCCGAGAGGCCCAAGAGACGAAGTCTGAAGAGGCCCCCGGGAAGTCCCCAAGAGGCGTCCAGAAGCCCCCAATCGGCCTCAAGAGCCGCCCAAGAGGCCCCCAAGACGCCCCGGGTGGCCTCCAAAGGGGGCCCCAAGAAGCCAAATGGTATTCCCTTGGGTTGTTAAAGGATTTTGGGGTTCTCACCTTTTCGAGCTCCCGACACTCTAAGACGGTCTAAGGGACCCCCAAGACCAGGCACTGTGGCGGGATGGGCCGAAGGCCAATCTATGCATATTTATGCATGTATTGCACGGCATGGGCTGTGCTCACTACCTAGATTGCATCACGTAGTTTTGCACATGGCAGATTGCAACACATAGGCTGCACCACATAGCTGGCACCGCATATGTTCCACCTCTAAAAGATCTGATCCTAGAGTGTTTTCTGGAGCATGCCGCCGATACATCGCACCAGTCGTGCATCTCACATGGTGTGAATTACACATAGACAGCACAGCATGTTCGGGTAAAGCGAACCGAATGTACATAGAGCGCCAATGATCCATTGTTCGGGGTCCATGTGGGGTGAATATGTCGAAATTCGTTGTCATATCGCAGAACGCCCAAGATGGCCCGAGATGCCCAAAACCTCGCCCTGATACGACCCGGGAAGCTTCCGATAAAGGCTCGAAGGTCCTCTAAGACGGCTCCAAGCGGGGACACCAAATACTCGCCACCGCCAGATAGCTGAAGATTGCTGCCGCCCGAAACAATGTCGACGTTTTTGCGCTCAATCTGGACTTTACGTTGTTTGTCCACGTCGCCAAATGCGTGGAAGTGAATGGACAAGGCGCGCATCTGGCGCGAACGGGCGATCTGTCGCTCTCGCCTCGACGCAGCGCTCATTCATCGGGAGAGTGGAGCTACGACTCGGGCGCGGCCGCATCGTTCGCACGCCAACTCGTCGACGTGCGAGCGGCGAAAATGTCGCTGTCGCCTCGGCACCGGGCAGATGTCGGGTCGGGCGAAAGGGGGGGATAGCAAAGGGGGGGTTTGAGAATCAGCTCACGTAGCTGATTTTCCATGTGCTTCCCGGCGCCGAAGGCGCCCATGTATCGAGGAATGGGCCCGGCGGCGGGGCCGAAACCAGCTGCATGCAGCAGATTTCGCAAACCCCCCTTTCCCAATCCCCCCCTTTCGCCCGGCCCGAAGATGTCGCTTGAAACTGGCGCCCCTGGCTCAGCGCGGCAACAGCACGTCCCTCGCCAAGTCTGGGCCCCGCGCGAGCGTGCGACCTGCCGCCCTCGTCCAGACCCCGTGCCCTCTCCGCCCGGGAGAGGGCCGCTCCTCGCGGGCGCCACGCCTTCTCCCTCGTGCGCGGTCGCCTGCGAGCGGCAGCGGCAGCGGGGCCGCGCGAGAGCAGGCGAAGTGGTGTCCTCGCACAAGCGCCGCCGAACTTGTGAGCGAAAGCGGCATTTTCTTATTTTTATTGTTATTATTATTATCATCATCATCATCATTATTATTATTATTAGTATCATTATTATTATTATTCTTATTATTATTATTCTTATTATTATTATTACTACTATTACTACTACTGTTATTATTATTGATTATATATTTACATATGTATACGTATAATATGCATATATATATAATCATTTGTTGTGAGCGAAAGCAACATGCTGCACAAGTATCGGGCGCGACGGATGCTTCGTCCACGCCGCGGCCCTCGGAGGCCGTGCCGCTCCCGCCCCCCCACAGCGGGGCCCGCATCGGTTCTCCCTCCGCAAAGGACGTCGAGAGCGGAACCGCGCGCGAGCGCACTCCGCTCGCCAGGTGGGAACGCGCTCGAATCCCAAGATCAAGCTGTGCCACACTTGAGACCTGTATGATGAGAGGGAGTGTGGGAATGGGCAGGGACCGCTGACTCGTTCGATCTGGCTACCTCGTCCCGCCTCCCTCCTCCCTCCTCCTCCTCTCCCTCACCCAATTTCCTCCCCCTCCTTCCCCTGCTCCCTCTCCTCCCCCTCCTCCTCCTCCTCCTCCTCCCCCTCCCCCTTCCCAACCTCCTCATCCTCCTCCTCCTACTCCTCTCCTCTCCCGTCCTTCCTAACTGTTATCCCCAAGGACCTGTAGCCCAACGTTTGGCCTCGTAGTCGCTTTTAGAAGGGAAGGGGGCGGTGGTTCGCCGCAGGCGACTTCAATATTTCAACGTCTCTTCTAAGAAGGCCGCTCGAAAGTAAGCGCTCACCACTGCGTGTGACACGGTGGTCTTGTTGAAGTGAAACGCGATCGTGACGTTGTGATGCAAATCGACGGCCGAACAGGGACCGTGGACCCCGGGCTCACCGACACAAGCACATGTCCCGCTCGCGCAGAAGTCATATCTGGGAGTGCTCTCGTTGTGGAGGCTCTTTCTGCACCTGCACCCCTGCGACGACGGCGGCGGCCCAAAGAGCGAGTCGAACGCGCCCCTGGGGCCCTCGCCGCCCGCGCCACTGGTTTTGCCCATATAAGACAGGTGCCGTATGATCGATGATCCTCCGAAAGTGTGTTTAGAGGCCTCCTACATGGGCTCGCGGTAGATGGGGTCGGAGGATCGAGCTGCATCGCTGATGCATCGGCGATGCATCGGCGATGTATCGGCGATGCACTAGCGACGTCGGCGAAGCATCGGCGCCGTCGGCGTGGAAAAAATCTGGCTCCTCATCGAGCCGCATCGCCGATGCATCAGTGATGCGGCGCGACCCTCCGACCTCATCTGCTCCGACCCCATCCGGAATGCCCAGAGTGTCAGCGCCACCGCGTGCTCGTCCACCGACGCTCTGCAACACAACGCAGGAATGGTGGCCGGCTCAGGGTGCGTGCTATCCGCGGAGCAGAAGAGGGTAGACATAATGCGGGATGACGATTAATAAAAAAATGGGAGAGAACGATTAAAGAAATAGTTTTCTGCTGTTTCTGCACAACTCTCTGACTGGAGGAGAACGATTTTAAAAATAGTTTTCCAGCCCGCGGCCGGTTTTTTCTAATCGTCATCCTGGGCGCCGCCGCGTGAACACGACCCCCGGTCATTTATGAATCGTCATCCTCCATTACATTGGGCCAACACGCGCCCAGAGGACCATCGAGATGCACACGCTGCCGAGCGCGTCGGGGACGGTCTCCTCCAAGCCGGGGCAGCGGGTCCCGTCCACGGAGGAACGAACAACTGCACAGGCATACAAGCTCTGGGGTGTCCTCCCTCGCCTGGCGCGCGGAGCCCGCCTGGGGCTGCGCCAGAGGCCATCGCCAGGGCGGGCCTCGGCGCAGACCCAAGAACTCCCAGGCATCCAGCGGTGCGACTTCTTCCGGGTGAGACGACGTACGCCAGGCCGAGGAGAAGCTCGGGCGAGGCTAGATCGAGCACCTCGGAGATCCGGCGGGCACGGGACGACCTTTCCGGCGCCGCGGCCCTCTCGGAGCGCTCCGGAACGCTCCGAGCGCGTGCTCGGAGCGCTCTGGGACGGCCTCCTTCTCGTGACCAGCCCCGTCGGATCGAGGCACGTGCCCCCCCTCGACCACTGCCCCAGAACCGGTGCTTCATCCCGGCGAGGGCCCCGAGAGGCCGAAGGCTGCGAGAAGCGTCCGTCCCGATGCTTGGAAGACGCACGATGTCTTGGTCGGCGCCGATCGAAAAACTCTGGGCGGACCTCCGAAAATGTATGCTTGTACTGTTGCTAGTTCCTCGGGTCTAGCTCTTCGACCGCGGCGCTCTCCAGGGCGACCAGCGCGGAGCCCCCGAAGCAGCCCCGCTCGTCCGGCAGCGCCACCGACCCGTTGCCGAGCCCCAGCGGCGCGAGCGAGCACGGCAGGCCGTCCCACGAGCCCACCTCTGGGCGCCCGCAGTGGGTACGAAAGGAAAGGACACGATGCCCAACGACAAATGAGCGATGACAAAAAAAGGTCTTACGCGAGAAGACATACTTAGCGACCTTACGCGGTGGCTTGCGCGAGATGCCAGCGCGGCACGAGGGCATTTACGCGCGGCCTTACGGGGGCAGCATAATGACGCACCGATGTCGGTGAAGGCGATTCTTTTTTCTTCTGTCGCTCGACTGTTGTCCAAAACGACAGCGGCCGCTGTTGGGCAGGCGGCTTTCTGTCTGAAATGGACAACGCCCGCAGCGACGCCGACAGCGAACCCTGTTCAACCTTGGCAGGAACCACTGTCGGTCTTCGCACCCATTCATTCTGTACCCACTTCGAGCGTACCGACCACCGGGCGTGGGTTCAGCAGGCTCAGCGACTCGTTGCAATGGGCGGCGAACGTGAGCGCGTGGACCAGGAGCTTGCCTCCGGCAAGCGGGGGGAGGCGAGGCTCGAGGTGGGAAATTGTCGGCGGGATGCCCTCCAGCAGCTGCGCCTCGCCGGGAGCGTTCTGGGGGACCAGGGATCGTCCCGAACGGCCGCCAGAGACTAGTTATATGAACCGAAAACCAAGCCTCCGGAGCGGGCCCGCCAGGAACACTCCAGCTCGTACGGCTCGCCGGCGACCCTGTCCCACCACGGGTCGAAGAACGCGATGCACACCGAGAGCGGGACGAGCCAGCAGACCGCCTCGCAGAAGGTGTAGCAGATCTGTGCCTTGAACGTGGATGCGGCGTAGCGGTTGTAGTAGCTGCCCAGGATGATGAGCGTGGGTCCCAGGGTGACGACGGTCGCCGCAAGGGCCGCCCCGACCGTGACCGAGAGCACCACGCCTAGCACCGCCAGGAGAACAAAGGCGCCCACGATCCCGCAGCAGCGTTTCTGGCAGCCCCAGTGGCAAAAGCGCCCCGGCTCGGTCAGCACCACCTGGGTCCTCTTCTTGGAGGCACGCAAGAGGGACCCGTTCGAGAGGGACCTTCGGTGCGCGGCCTCAGGGGGCGGCGCAAGGGGGGGGCAAACCCACGCGCACAAGGCGCTGCTGACGCATCGCGTTCGTCGGTCCCAAAAGGGCACGCACCAGAGATCACTCCGGGAAAAATGGCTTGGCGGTCCCGAGGCACCCGGGAAGGGCCCCCAGGGTCCAAACATGGCGGAGAACCTCCCGTCGTGACTTCTCCATTACTCGAGGGGCTCCTTGCCATCGCTCGGACGCCCTTTCCCATGTGCAGTGTTCGGCCTCTTTGCGCTTACTTCTCGCAAGATGTCTCAGGATGCTTCTCGATGGCCCCCGCCGAGGAAACATGCACACGTCCGAGCGATGCCGAGCTTCTGGGTTCTGGGTCTCACATGCAGACGGCCTTTGCCGCCGCGGCGCCGCCACGCCCGGCGGCGCGCCGGGAGCCGACGGCGCTGCGCCGCTGCGCGGCACGGCGTTGACGGTCCCGCAGTGGCCGCACCTCAGCCGCTGCGCGCCCGCCGCCGCAGAGTTCAGGGTGCCGCAGTGGCCGCACTGCACCGCGACGCTCATGGCGCGGCAGCACGGCGCCTAGAGCGCCTGGCGAGGCCTCTGCGGCCCTCCGCCCGTCGCCCTCCGGAGATGCTGGGCCGCTGGAGCCACGAGGAGGACAGGAGCAGCCAGCATCGAATCGCGAGGTCGTATCGGATCGGAAAAATCCTCGAATCGGGCCGCATCGGCACGGAATTGGAATCGAAGCGGCCGCGCCATGATGCACATCAACGCCGTGCAAGCACCAGGCCACATCGGATCGTCGGAACATCGAAATCGAATCGGATCGAGCTGGTCGGAATCGATATCGAATCGGAGCGGAACGATCTCTGGGAGGATGAGGGGGTGGAGCGGGGCCCGCCAGGGGGTGGTCCGTCTCCCGCGATTCCTCTCTCGGCCGAGGGCGAGTTGAGACAACACCAGCTCAAAATCGGCCCCGTGACGCCTCTCGAGGTTCAAACATCCTAGTATGAAGGCACCCAAGAACACACACACACACATAAATACACACAACTAGAAGGAGTCCCCATATGTTCCCATATTTTCTGGGTTTTTGTCTTCCCCACCACTTCCCATATTTTCCAATATTTTCCTGGGGATCGACGATGAATTGTGTCTGTGTGTTTTTCCCCTCCTGATAGTTGTCTGCCGAGAGGCCTCCAGCCGTGGCGACGCGGGGGTGCCCCGAAGGCCAACTGCCGCCGTCTCCACTGGACCTCCTGAGACTCCTTCCATCACTCGGGATGAGTACTACAGGGCAGTGTTTAATACATAGGATTTTGAAATATATGGGATTTGAATAATGATTCATGTATGAATGGATGTATGTATGAACTCATCGTTGTTTTTAATACTAAATCCCTGCATGTTCATACATGACCCGCACGCGGAGCATGTATGAAATACGGCACTGTACTCTCCTCTCTCCCCTGACTCTGTCCGATGTTGGACACACATCGTTTTTTTTCAGAATGATATTCCCGCTGCAGCGTGGGCTTCATTTTCGGATCGGCGCTCTGCTCCCGTCGTTCAGAGTGGCGCTCTCGCCTCAGCGCGGGCCACTCTTCTGGGTCCGAGCCCTTCTTCATCGTGGTCGGCCCCCCTCCTTTCCCCTCCTCCACCTTCCCCTGGTCCTCCTGCTCCTCCGGCTCCTTCACCTCCAATTCCCACTGCATCTGACCGTCCTCGTCCTCATCCTCCACCCTTCCGCACCCTCCTCCTTCTCTCCTTGCTCGGCTCCCTCTTCCCGATTGCGCGTAACACGGAGGAATCGCTTTAGAGATCCCGGGTCCGCTACGACACGCGTCCGCGGATATAGAGAAAGACTCAGCGCAATGGGAAGAGATGGATGGCAGGGGTGGAGTGTCAGATGGCGCGAGCGCACCTGGCTTACCCCACCCCCTCTGCTGGCAACCTCACCCCCCCTTCACTGCCCCCTCGCTCCGCCCAGCTTCGGGCCGCCGTCCTCCCACTTCGGGTGGCGGCCTCTCGCTTCAACCCAATGAGAATGCGAGCCAGCTGCACGCCGGCCTTGCTCACTGGGCCTGGCCGGGGCTGGCGTCGGTGCATGTGCAGACCATTCGGAAGGAACGGGCCCACGTGTAGGAAAAAACGGTATACTAGATGATTCGGATTTCGGCCCGACCATACCGGACAACAGGCGGCCAAAGGTGGAAGGCCGCCGAGTCTTGAGGCAGGAAAGCGCGTGAGGCAGACTCGGGTCTGCGACTCTAACAACGCCTGAGCGACGATCAAAAATGGGTCTTACGCGAGATGGTACAGCGACCTTCCGCGCTGGCTTACGCGGGCCGCCCGCGCGGCGCGTCACACTTGAAGCGAGGGCACTTACGCGCAGCCTTTCGCGGGCAGCTTACGCGCCAATGTCGGCGGAGACGACCCCGTTTGTTTGCGTCGCTCACCCGGGCGCGGACCGACCAAACTCTCGGCCCGCTCCCCTGAAGGGGCCCCAGGACACACAAATAAATACACACACACACATCAAAAGATTCCCCATATTTTTCCATATCTTCTCGGTTTTTGTCTTCCCGCCCACTTCCCATATTTCCCCATATTGTCTGGGAATCGACGAGTAATTGTGTCTGATGTATTTTTCCCCCTCCTGATCCCCCCCTGCTCGGCGGGTGCATGCCGTGGCCGGCGTTCTGGGAGGCCTCGCCGCCTCCGGCCAGGCCCGGGGCCCCCCGAGAAGAGGCCCCCGACCCCCGTGCTGCCCGCCCCCGCTGTGTCCGCGAGCGCCGCGCCGGCGTCGAGCAGATCTCTGCCCGCGCACGCCATCCCCCGCCGGTGAGGGCTGACTACCTACCAAACCCCCCCAACCCAACCCGAAGACCCGAAGTTGACCCGCATTTCGGGCTGGGGGGGGTACGGGTTCCATGTGTTTTTTCGACGTTCCCCGACCCCCCCCCCACTGGAAATGAAGGGCAAATCGAGGCCTTCGGGTTGGGTTGGGGTGGTCTGGTAGGTGGTGAAGGGCAGGCTGGGACCTGGAGCTCTCCCAGGGCGCCTGAAAACGACGCGAAGATCGGGACAAAATCGGATCGGGATAACTCGCGAAATCTCTGAGAATCGGCGGGTTTGGAGGATGTATTGGGCGCTGCGGCTGCTCCAGAGCGTTCCGGAACGCTCTGAGAGCGCTCCGGAACGCTCTGGAGCGATTTATCCCGATCCTAGCCCTGTTTTACGCCTCCTGGCCAGGATCCCGGGGCGCGGGGCAAGGATCCTAGGGAGCGGGCGACACATATGGGTGTCCTTTCCTTTCCTGGGAGGGGGAGGCGACGACGATGGCCCCGACCACGAAGGAGCGCGGAGACGGGCGAATCGGCGACGCCTTGCGCGGACGACAACCAAGTTCGGCGTCGACGCGACGCGACGCGATCTCGCGAAATCTGGGCCATCTGTATCACACATCTTCCCTCGAGAGGCGTACATGAAGACGTCCCGCCGCGCCCAAACCGGGGGGTGGTGGGGGACCCCGACATCCTCGCGTCGTGAAGCGACACGGAGGAGTGTGGAGCCACGTTGTGAAAGATCTCTTTGGAGTGCAAGGGCAGGCAGAAGAGAATACGCGCAGCTCGACGAGCCAATCGGCTCACGGTGAGCCGAAAGCGGACACGGGCGAGCTACCGAAGATAGAGCGAGAAGCAAGCATCGCCTTTGCGGAATGCTTCGGGGGGAGGGAAGGGTGTTGGCATACTTTGAAGTTGTTGACAATTGATTGACCTCTGGAGGCCTCTAGAAGGAAAAGGGATGAGAAGATACCATTGTCCATATCATGTCCCGAACGGCGGTGCGCTGAGGCTTCCTATCCCGACCTGCAAGACCCTGCCGCTTGGCATCTGAAATGCAGGGGCCATTCCGACAAGAAGCTATGCCCGGCACGGTTACACTGGAACCCACGTCATCATTCGAAGTGAACTACGGGGCCACGGACGCGGCAGCCCCAACGACGGCGCGCGTTGCAAACAACGCGCGGCCGTCAGTTCAGGTTTCTGACTTGGGCTTAGGCTGAGGCAGCAGAAGAGAAAGAGAGGGACCAGAGGTCGATAGAGGAGAGAGGAGAGACGAGGAGGAGGATCAAGATAGAGGAGGAGGGTCTGCATTCAAATGAAATTCCTTCACTGGGATCTTACTTACTCTTTATGAGTGGGTGCTACGTGGTTCGAGGATGGAGGCGACTGGAAGATGAGAGGGAGTTTGAGCTGGAGGTCCGACAAAAGGGGTCAATGAGGGACGAGGGGGCATGGTTGAGGAATCGAGACGAAGGACAAAGAGGAAGATGGCGGGAGAGCAGGGAAAAAGCAGCAGGAGCAGCAACACGAGGGAGGGCCATGCAGGGACTCGGGGGAGGGAGGATGTTGAATGGAGGGAGGAGATCGAGATGAGGGTCTGGGGGAGGGTGCAGCACGAGGACAAAAGACGTGCACAGGCGAGGAAAACAGAAAGCAGGACGACTGAGGGGAGGCAGTGTGGGCAAGAGGCAGGGGAGGAGGAGAGACCAGGTTGGCGGGGGACGGATGGGAGGGTGTCGTGGGGAGGGGGGAGCGTAGGGGGAGCATCGGAGGGAAAGGCGGTGGGAGGGTATGGGGACCGGGCAGGGGGCGAAGGAGGGAAAGGGCGTGCCAGTTGGAGGGGGGTTACCTTGGAGGCCCCAGGGGAGCGCTCCAACACAACCGAAGAGCCTCCACATCCACCAAACCCCGATCGCCGGCGGCGGCGGCGGCGGCGTCGTCGTCGTCGTCGTCGCCGCCACCGCCGCCGCCGTCGCCATCGCCGCCGCCGCCTTCGCCCCAGAGGCCGCGGGCTTCGGAGCGGCGCCGCGGGCCCTGTCTGCAGCCGCGCGCGCGCGCCTCCCCCCAAGGGCGCCGGCGCCGCCCCCGCGAGCTGCGCGCGCGCGGCAGGCGCGTCGCGCCGGGCCCGCTTTTCGCGCTCAGGCGCCCTGCTGCGCGCGCCAGACGGACTTGATCGTGTCGCGCATCTGGCGGCGCGCGGCGACGAAAGGGATGGGCAAGAGGGCTTGGCAGGGGGAGGCGGCAGGGAAGTCTCCGGCGAGGGCGCGGCCGCTCTGGGTCCGAGCACGGTGTGGAGAAGCCCCGAGCGAGGCGGCGATCCCCAGAGCGACCCGAGAGAGCGGCTCGCGCATCAAGTGCTAATCCCCTTGCTAATGCCCCTTGCTGATCCTCCTTCGCAGGAGCAAGAGGGGATTAGCAAGGAGGGCTCGGGCGAGAGCGCGGCTCCTGACCGCGTGGCTCGTGCCCTGGCGGCGCTGGAGGGCGGCGAGGTGCGGCCTCGCGAGGGCTGCTCTGGAAATCGTGGGGGCCTCCTGGAAGTCCTGGGGATGGCCGCAAGAAGCCATTTCGGGGATGGACAGACCTCCCTTTAGTAAAACGTGGTTTAGTGCAAACGACCTCGGGCCCAAACCTGGCGGGCGCAAGCCTGGAAAATAACGGCCGCGGCGCCCTCTCGAGAACCGAAAACGGACAATTCACTAATCAACGTGTCACTGTTAGGAGGTCTGTCCACCCCCGACCATTAAGGACCCCCCCGGGGTTATCATCAGCACAGCACCGTAGTGAAATGATTCTGGG